GGGCGGCCGCCATGTTGCGGAGCGGCGGGGCCGGCGGGCGCTGACGGAGGAGGCGGAGCGGGGCCGGGCCGGGCCGGAGGCAGCGGCGGCGGCACCGCGACCGGGCAGGTACGGCCGGCACAGCGCCGAGGGCACGGTGCGGGGCACCGCGGGGCAGGGGGACTGCGGCCGGCTGGGCCCTGCGCCTTCCTCCGCGGGCAGGGGCCTGTGCGCCCCGGCGGGGCCGGGCCGGGCGGGGCGGAGGGGCCGGGCCGGGCGGGGCCGGGCTGGGGCAGCGGCGGCTCCGAGACCGGTTGGGGGTTCCTTCCCTCCTGCTTTTCCTCCGTCCCTCCTTTCCTCATACTCTCCCACTCTCCCTGAGTGCCTTTCCTCGTTCTCTCCCACCTCCCTCTGTCATCCCCACCCCGGTCGCTGAACGGCCCCGCGGGGCCGCTTCTCTTCCCCTGATGTTCATGACAAACAGCAAGGAGCAGTCGGTGTTTCCGCTCCGTCGCGGTGCGCTGTCAGCCCTGGCAGGACGGGCCCGGGGCCGGCGAGCCCCCAACGCTCCGGTGCCTCGGGGGTGTTTGGTAACGGGCACGTCCCGCATCTGCACCCGCAGCTGGAAGGTCGCGCTGTCATCCCCTCCTTCGGTCCGTGTGCCCTGAAAGGCACGGAGAGCCCGAGCCTGGCTCGGTGTGTCCTCACCAGCTCCTTCTTGCTTCTTGGTCAGACTGATGATGCGGATGGCAGAGGTGTCTTTTTTGTGGTGTGGACTTTGTTCTTAAAAACCTGCCAGGCTGCGGCAGGAACTTCGCCCAGCAGTCCCTTGTTTACGTGCAGCACCGGTGGATGTGCCCCTGCCCCCCTGGTGGCTCGGGGGTCTGAGGGAGCTCGTTTTACCACCGTGTCTTTTATTCGGGGGTTTTTAACGTATTGCTGACGTTTTGCACGTGGGATATGTGCACACCATCAACAACTGAGCTCTTAAAAACCTGAGCCGAGTGTCTTCCTGGTGGTGAGAGGGTCCTGCTGGGGCAGGGAGGGCTGTCAGGTCACCTCAGAGTCACCTTGTGAGGTTGTCGTTGGGTTCATGGTGTGGAGGATTGCTTTCCCTCGATTTGTAGCACTCTGGAGGGTTTTATGCCTGTTGTCTTTGTGAGTGCTGGTGCTTCCTGAATGTGTTTAATGATGCCACCCCAGTATTTTGTGGTGAAGATTCTTCAGAGAGCAGCTCCACTGTGGGCAACAAAACCTCGTTGTAGCCTTCCAGGACCTAAAGGAGCAAACAAGAGAGCTGGAAAAGGACTTTAGACAAGGGCTTGGGGGGACAGGACAAGGGAGAATGGCTTCCCACTGGACAGGGTGAGATGGGATATTGGGAAGAAATTCTTCCCTGTGAGGGTGGGGAGGCCCTGGCACAGCTTACCCAGAGAAGCTGTGGCTGCCCCATCCCTGCAAGTGTCCAAGGCCAGGTTGGATGGGGCTGGGAGCAACCTGGTCTCATGGAAGGTGTCCCTGCCCATGGCAGGGGGTGGGACTGGATGGGCTTTTAGGTCTCTCCTAACCCAAACCAATCTGGAATTCCATGACTGTACAATTTTTGTGTTAAAGACTGATTTTGATTTATTTTATTATTATAATTAATACAGAAGCAGAATTTTCCAGGGCTGTTGACTGAGGCTGCTGTGTTTTCTAAATTCAATTACTTTCTTTCATGGGTTGACCAGGGGCACTGTTGCATTTTCAGTAGTTTAAGTATTATGATGAAGCAGAGTTTTGGATGCCTGACCTTTCAGTAAAGCTCCAGAGACAAGGCTGCTGGTGAATTTTTAATCTTTGCTTTTAGTGCACTAACTTTTCCTTTATTGGAAGCCTTGTCAGAGCTTTTATCTAGAGCTGGTGCTTTCAGCTGTCTGTATTGCACTTGGAATTGTAAGTCAGCCTGACAGCTGTATTCCGTGGATTTTTGTAGCTTTCTGAAGGGAAACTGGATTTTATTAAAGTCAGTAGCTTTGTGAAAAATTGCCATGCTCAGACAGAGCATAGAAACTACCAAACACAAACGAGAAGCCCTGAAGGTTCTCAGAGATGTTACAGGGGTGACCTGCTGGGGAGCAGCTGTGGAGAAGGACCTGGGGGTCCTGGTGGACAATGAGCTGTCCGTGATCAGCAATGTGCACCAGTGGGATCTGGGGGTGCACTGGGAAGAGCATTTGCAGCAGGTCAGGGGAGGGATCCTGCCCCTCTGCCCAGCCCTGGGCAGGCACATCTGCAGGGCTGGGCCCAGCTCGGGCTCCTCAGCACAGCAGGGCCAGGGAGCTCCTGCAGCGGGGCCAGCGCAGGCTGCGGAGATGCCCAAGGGATGGAGCAGCTCTGGGAGCAGCAAAGGCTGAGGGAGCTGGGGCTGTTCAGCCTCCAGGGGAGACACTGAGAGGGGCCCTCCCGAGGGTTTCATCAGGGGGCAGAGGATGGAGCAGGCTCTGCTCGGGGGGCCCAGCAACGGCACAAGAGGAACGGGCACAAACTGATGCCCAGCACAAACCTGCTCTTCACCCCAGCCCTCAGCACTGTCCCCAAGCCAGGTGACAGCCAGCACAGCCCAGGGGTGCAGGTGCAGCTCCACCACCTGCCTTTGCCAATAACTGTGTCTCTAAAACCAGAGTGTTTCTGGTGCTGCCTCTTGTTTGTTTTTCTGTTGTAACAGATAAACCTCTTACAGGACTTGCTGTTAATTAGGGAGCCTTGTGCCCCCCCGGGCAAGAGGTGCCACCCAGGTGACCCCACGTGTTGTGTTTTGTTTCTCAGTGCAAGGTTTCCTGCATGGCTGGAGAGTTTGTGCTTTATTTTGGATTCCCTGGGAGCAGGTGTGGCCCTCTTTATTTATGGAGCAGCATGGCAAAAAGGTGAAATAATCACTACCTGCAGGCAGTAAAAAGGAGTTTAATGGTGGTGATTTTCTGAGAAATCCCCTGCTGAGTGTGTGGTTGTCGTGTCTGCTTGGATAAACCCTGCGCTGCAGTGGGATGTGTATTGAATGAAAACGTCATCTAGGAAGGCATAGTAACAATTCTACAATTCTTCTGACTTATTTAAAGCTGGCTGAGGCAAATTTGGAACCCCCTTAGCAGGGCCCTGGCTGCTGCATGGGTACAGTGGCAGGGGGGCTGGTGGCTCTGAGCTCTGTAGTTGCCCATCACTTGCATTTGAGTTTCAGTTGAACAGCTGAAAATATCCTGGTCTTTGGAGTACAGGCTTGACTGTTGGCTTCCCCTCTTTTCCTTCAGTTGTGGAGAGAAGTGGGATTTAGGAAAAACATCTGTGCTGAAAGTGGTGGTGACACCTGAAGCATCATCCATGTGGGAGGCAGCAAGAACAATGTTTCTGGTGGACTTTCCAGGGCGTTCCCCTCAGAGGAGGACTTGTGCCTAAGGGCAACTGTTTTGTATAAGAAAATCCTTATGGAAAAACTTTTAAGCTTGTAATGGTGTACAGAGAAAATTTATTAGATATTAGGAAGAAATTATTGGCGGTGAGGGTGGTGAGGCCCTGGCACAGGTTGCCAAGAGCAGCTGTGGCTGCCCCTGGATCCCTGGAAGTGTCCAAGGCCAGGTTGGACAGGGCTTGGAGCCACCTGGGCTAGTGGAAGGTGTCCCTGCCTGTGGCAGGGGGTGGCACTGGATGGGCTTTAAGGTCCCTTCCAACCCAAACCATTCTGGGATTCTGTGATTAGTGGAGGGGGTGTTTATCTTTGGTAAAGGCTGTTCCAAAGACAGATTTTGCTGTTTCCTGAAGGCCTTACAACCCTGAGTTTCCGCTGGCACGTGACAGCCCAGGCCACAAACAGAGCTCTGTGTCACGAGCACTCTGTCCTTGGCTCCCGCAGGCTTCCTGCAGCCTCGCTCATCAGAGTGCCCTGAATTCCTGTGGTTTGCTGCTCAGAGTCCCTCTGTCATCGTGGGAGGACTGCATTGCTTTGGGGTGGTGGACATGAAGCCTTACCCGAGTTCTGAAGCTGTCTTGGAGCTTCTCCGTGAGCGCAGGTGGAGGTGCAGAAAGTCAAACACTTCTCACCTCCAGCCTGGATTGCAGGTTGGGCCCGTGCCTATGAGGAGGGGGAGATGTTTTCTGCCTGTGAGGGAGATATTTTCTGCCATGGGAGGTGAGAGGAGGCACGGATGGATCGCTGTTCATTTTGCTTGTCTCCCAAGCTTAGTGTGGAACTGCAGCATGTCCAACTTCTGTACTCCCGTTACAGCCTGGCAGGAGATGCAAACAGTCTCTTCTCTTGGGCCACTTTGCCTCCAAATCCAACTGGAGTTCAGTTTGTGCCTATTTCTGGTCACTAAAAGTTGGTGTTTTTGGAACAGGGGCATTGTAGAGCTGGTAGTGAGTGCATAAAGGGGTGTGTGAGTTCCCTGGGCAGGACGTGCTTCTTGGCAGGAAAACATGGCTCGGAAAAGCAGGAAAGTGTGGAATTTTGCAGGACCTTCAGTGAATAGTAGTCACCTCCATCTTACCCTCTGCAATACACTGCTGGGGTGTGATGGCTCTGGCAGTAATCCAGTGTCTTGGTGGACTATTGAACCTTCAGGAGTGTGAGGACTAAGGGTGCAGATCCCACCTGACACCATAACACTGGAGTAATTTTGTTGTTGCCATTAGTGTGATCTCTGCAGTACAAAGCCGTGAACAGGCAAGGCAGCAAAGGTTATATTTTGTTTTGAAATAAAGCTTTACCTGCTTCTATTGCAGAGGGGTTACTTTTGTAAATGGCTGATTTTATAAATGCTTTTCACACTGATACCTTTGTAAATCGTTAAATAAAAATTTATATCCTTCTAGCTTTTAAAAGGTGAATATTGGTAAAACACAAGGCTCTCTAGTCCTCAAGTCTCTTTGTCCTACTGCTGGTTTGAAAGGAGGCCAGTTCCTGGAAATTTTTGGTGGGTTGGCATAAGATATAAACCCTCTTCCTCCAGGTTAAATGTGCAAAAGTTCTACTTTGGGTTGGCCTAGTGCAGATTATCCTGCTCCTTGTCAATGGCTGCTCTGTATTCTCCATAGCTAAAATGCTTTGGTGCAGCTTTTTTTTTTACCTTTTTTTTTTTTATTCCTTCCCCTTACAGCTTGTGTAAAAGAGAAGAATCTGTAACTGGAAATGCTCTTACAATACTCCAGGTTGAGGAGGAGGAGGTGATGCTTGTTAAGCCATATGAAAACATCAGCCCTTTGGGGCCAGGTTAGGTTTTTGTGTGATGTGGCCAGTGAAGGCTGGAGGTCCCTGGAGCTGCCAGGGACAGAGGAACTGCCATTCTGCTGCCAGCTGAGGGCTTTACCTTATTTATTTGCAAGTGTTGTGGTTGGTTTCAGATAAATCATTAAAAGATGAAAACTTTGGGTTTGGGGAAGCAGGACATATGGGTTTGATTTCAAACCCTGCTGCTCACGACTTGAAGGACTAAGTACTTGTGTACTTTTCCACTTGGTAAATGATGGAGCTTTTCCAGAGAGCTTGGAAATACTCAGCACCCCAATAATGACATTAAATACAAACCCAAAGAGCAGTCAGCATTTCTAGGTTTGGGTAGTCTCTTGCTGACTCTAAATTTGGGGTCTGTTTTGTGCTTGTTAGTAAAAAAAGCTCCAGGCAACCTTTTTCAGATTTGAGGTGCTTCAAAATAAAGCATCAACATAACATTAATGGTATTTGAATTACCAAGGCATCTTCTACCCCCTTTGGCCCTGTATAAATTAGGAAATATATTCAGCTCTACATTTAAATTTATCCTGCCTTTGGTATTCTGAGTCTCCCACTTCCATCAGCACCTCTCCTGTTGAACACTTACCCACCCAAATACTCTGCAGTTTTAAGAAGGACATGAACAATTTCTGGAATAAAAAAGGGTTCATCCAGCTCTGAATTGACAGAGCCAACACAACCTGCATCTGTCCCCCCACCTTCAGTGTGTGCTGGGGAATCCAAACAGGCACAACCTGCCTCAAACCACAGAAAATCACTTTGCAAAATAATTGCCCTCGTTTCCCAGCCAGCCCTGGCATTCTGCATGCTGGCTTATTACAAACACATCCATACCAAGAAAAAAACATTTCTGTATTTGAATACTTGAAGGTTGGGTCAATAAAAAGAACAAAAGGCACTTTGTTCAGCACCATAACTCTGCCTGGAAGTGTTGTTCTTAAAGTAATGGGCTGTGAGACAATCCAGAGACAGCACATAAGGTGCATAAGAAAATAAAGTCAGAATACAAATTCTTCCTTAGGAATCCAAAATCTTCCACCAAACCCTACATTTCTTCTCCAAGCATAAACTGCATAATTAGTTACAAAGTATTATACAAAAAGAATATGTAACACATGCAGCTCCTCAAGATCTTTTATTTCTCCAATTTAAAGAGAACTTATAGCCCACGTACCCCGGTCATAGAATCACAGAATCACTAGGGTTGGAAGAGATCATCAAATCAAACTGTTCCCCAGCACTGCCAAGGTTACCACTAAACCATGACCCCAAGTGCCACGTGGCTTTTGAACACACTCCCAGGGATGGTGGCTCCACCCCTGGGCAGCTGTGCCAGGGCTGGACAGCCCTTTCCATGAAGAAATTTTCCCTAATATACAGCTTGAAGCTCCCCTGGCGCAATTTGAGACCGTTTCCCCTTGTCCTGTCCCTTGTTCCCTGGCAGCAGAGCTCAACCTCCCTCCTGGCTCCCCCTTCCTGTCAGGGAGTTGAGGAGAGGGAGAAGGTCCCCCCTGAACCTCCTTTTCTCCAGGCTGAGCCCCCTCAGCTGCTCCTGGTGCTCCAGACCCTTCCCCAGCTCCATTCCCTTCTCTGGACAATCTCCAGCCCCTCAATGTCATTGTTGTTGTGAGGGGCACAGAACTGACCCCAGGATTTGAGGTGGGGCCTCAGCAGTGCCAGCACATGGGGACAGTCACTGCCCTGGTCCTGCTGGACACACAGTGGCTGGTACAAGCCAGGTGCCCTTGGCCTCCTTGCCCACGTGGGCACACCTGGCTCATGTTCAACTGCTGCCAACCAGCACCCCCAGGTCCTTCTGGCAAAGCCTTTTTTACTTGCTTCAGGGGGAAAAATCCACTGACTTCTGACAGACAAATTTGGAGTTGGCAAGAGCCTACCCCAAACCAGAGGTGCTGCCTGCTCCTTGGGTCTGTGGAACAGGTTTT